CAAGCTGTCCTATGTCACAGCTGGCAACTGTTTCTGAAACCTCATTTTCAGCATGTCCCATCCTTTTCTGTTCAAAAATCTACAAACATCTACAGTGGTATCAGAACTCAGGTGGGATCACAGTGAAGAGGGGGAGTCAGAAAGAATGTGCCCAGGCCGAGCAATGAGGGTCGAAAGTGGTCTGGGCTCAGTCTGGGCCGGCGGTGAGATTTCACATGAGCTTCATTCTGCAAAGAAGTTGCCAAGTTGCCATTCCCTGAATATACCTGCACTCAAGCTTCTGGGTCTTTAAGAGATATCATAAGGTTTTAAAAGTCCTTAGCCTTTACTGCCATAGCAGAGTCACTTACCCAGATTCCAGGGGCCCAGTCTGCCCTGATGTTGCTCCCATCCCTCGGACCTACCATGTGCACACAACTTGCCCTCCTCTCTCTTCTTCCTTTCCATCTCTCATTTCGTCCTTTCCCTCACCTTCAGGTCCCCACCTTCCATCTCTAAGACTGGCAGGCAAAACCTCCAAATTCGTGTTACTATTTTTGCACAGAGAAATGTAGCTTCTTCTGTTCAGCAATTTCTCTTATCCCAACCTGGCCTTGAACCTTTCCTCTCACAGCAAAACAGGTCCATTAGATGTGTTTAGTAAACACTTTAGCAGTCTGTGCCCTGTGCTGGAGTCTCAGCTCTAGCCAGTGTTTAAGTCATCATCAGTTTTTCCTTCCTGTTCAGTGGAGTATGGGTGGCCAAGGACAGTGTGCTCTGGTCCCTCACAGCCCCCAGAGGTCCTCGTAAAGTGTTGGACACACAGATATGCCCAAGTGAAAACTTGTTGGATTAAATGTATTTCAATCGAAAACATAAATCAAAGGCAACCCCTTTAGCTGCCAGGCTGCAAAATCATTGATAAGATGGAGAAGAAAGTTGGTTTGGAATAAGGGGAGCTTATAGGAAGGCTAAAGCTGGGCAAGAATAATAAAATATCTCTTACACTTCATAAAGGCCCTATGTAAGTTATTATAAATCTTTTAACTGTAAAATTAATACATTTTATAGAATGCAAGCCGGAAGTACTTTTAAAAATACATGGCAGCCTCACAGGAGTTCTATTCCCAAGAATGACACGCCATGAACGCGGTAGTTAAAACACGTGGGCAGCTGGGAGAGAACTGGGATGTTGAGAAAAATCACAAGGGAGGCATATGTTGGTTATTCTGGGACTGCTTCTGAATGCAGAAGGAGCAAAATTATTAAAAAGGCTCATCTGTTGGGATGAGCTATGCATTTCAGCATCTAGGAGGGATCTGGTGAAAGTACTTGGGACCACGTTATTGCAACTCGTTGCTGTGAGTTGAAATTAATAACTGAAAAATCGTTTGCTGCCAAGTGATTTTCCTTATCATGGTCCTTCAGGATTTCCGAAGTTTTTAATCCATTCCGTTCCATTTCAGATACACATTTTTCTACAGTGGCATTGTGAGCGACGTTCATGTGACCGAGCGCCCCCCCCGAGTGGGCATCCTGCTGGACTACAGCCAGCAGAGGCTCCTGTTCATCAATGCCCACAGCGGGCAGCTGCTCTTCGTCGTCAGGCACAGGTTCAGTGAGGGCGTGCACCCCGCCTTTGCCCTGGAGAAGCCTGGGAAGTGTACTTTGCACCTGGGGATAGAGCCGCCGGATTCTGCAAGGCACAAGTGATCACTGGCTTCCAGGGTCTGAAAGAGCAAGAATCCAGGTGCTGGTGGCCTGCGATCTTCCCGTGGGCGCCAGACGTTAGTGGGAGCGCCTCCCGCACACTCGCACCAGCGGTGGCTGCGTGGCAGTGATCAGCGCCGATCAAAACCACCGGGAAAGCCTTGTCTCTCCTGGGCAGCGAGTGAGTGAAGAAGATGGGAAAAGTCAGGCCCCAGCCTGTGGTCTATACGTGCCTGAGTTCTCCCCCGCATTAAAAGGGTTTCTACCTGACGTGGGAACCAAACCACAGAAATGGACTTTGCCTGTTTTGCTGGTAAAAGAAATCCTCGGATGGGCAGGTCTGAGTGAAGAGGGAAGACTGTGCTGGTAATCCTGCTCCTCGGACAAGAAACACGGACTTTTTCCACAAGGAAAGTGTCGCCTCACTTCACTCAAGTCTGATGAATCCTAATCGCTAGAGAAAGTGTTTCACCCTTCCAAGTTGATGGTGAACTCTTTTGTAAAATATGCTGTAGAACACGGGTCTCTTTTCCCTGAAGTTTTAAATGTAGAAGAGCTCTGGATATTAGAAATTTCCACTTTGTTAAATAAATGGTTAGCGTCTGTGAAACAAAACATGTTATGTGAGCTTGTCTGTAACTTACCAGCTGGCCTCTCTGGACCGGGACAAACTGCAGGGTAGATAGCCGTCAACACTTCAGTGGGTCATGCAATACTGATCATCACGTGAGAATTTCATACATGTGTGTTTTAAAACCTAAACACTTTCAGCTCAGAGTTACAGCCAACTACCAGAAGCTGGGAATCTTCTTTTACTGTAGGCTTGTTTGTCCTTCCACTCCTGGGCTGCACAGTATTCACACTATCTCCAGGTCTCAAACCACCAGGTGCATGTGAAACTCCTTGGTACCAGGAAGCCCAAATTTTGTTTCTGGTCATGAGTGTTGTGGGGCTCTCATAGTGAGCTGATCACATAGGCACTTTCTAGCTATGCAACTAGGCCTCACCTTTGAAACTAGCCTCCCTGTCCTGCCACAGGCTCCACCAAAACCAGTGCAAATCTTAAATCCAGTGATTATTACTAAATGACGCTCACAGACTGATAATCTTGCTTCGAAACGATGGATCCATGGTTACAGTGTCACTTTAGTTAATAGGTTCCATGGCACTGGGCAAGGATCAGTAGCTCTGTGCATACATATGTGGTCAATTAAGACTTGCTGAAATGAGCCCTTGCTAAGCACTTAATGTCCTGCATTCCAGAGCTCAGCTGCTGGGAGGTATTTCAAGAGTAATAATAGTAAGAGTTGAGTGTCTCTGCTGCAATAGCCATTGCCTCATGTCCCTGATTTGGTGGCTGCTAGTGAGTGATCCAGGACACATTCCTGAGCTGAATGAAGTTAGACCTGGTCTCCAGCCCCCTTCACAGTGCTCAGGAAGGAACACATTTTCTTGGCTGGTTTCAAAATAGGAGATCAACACCTCTCATTTTCTACCCTTTATTACCCTCAAAGTGTATGTGGTTGTGCCCCTCTTTTATGTAAACTGGTTTTGATCTTAAACAAATGCCCTTTCTATGCTGAGTTTGTTTTTTTCCAATTGATATCAGTAGTTTCAGATTCCTAAATAGCATCTGAACTATCAGAGTACTTGAGAATAGTTGGAGGGTTAAGAACATTTAACTTGGAACAAAGACATCTGAGGGAAGGATATAAGCCATCTTCAACAATTTGAAGAGCTGTTACGGGGAAGGAATTAGGCTAATTTTGATTTTCTACTAAGACCAGTGAGTAGAAGTCGCAGGGTTGAGGAATTTGGCTCAGGAGAAGGAAGAGTACCCACCCTCTCACCCCCCACGGTGACTGTTGGCTCAGGGCGTGCTGCTTAGCAGGTAAGGGGCACTCGGAGTCAGGCTGAATAATCAGCCATCTTCATTGGCTTCTTGCTGAGTTCTAGATCCATGGTTTTTCAACTGTGCTACTGGGGTGCTGGGATTCCACAGAGGTGCCTGAAGGGCGATATGGAATCCAGTGGGAAAGCCAAATGGGCATAAATTCAGACCCATATCCCATTTTGATGTTTTACATATTGGGTTCTTGATAATTCATTTGATTAAAAGGTTTCTATGGTTTAATAAAGTTAGAAAACTGGATAGCCGCTGAGGTCCAGATCTGAATTCCGTGATTCAGGGTGACCCAAAAGTCCCTAAAGCCTCTATTACCTCAAAGTCCCTTTTTATTCCAAATTTCCAAGATTTTCTGTAGATGGTTACATTCTCCTGCTTGACGTCTCTGGCTTCCTGCTTCTGGAAATGCCTCCGTCACCTATGCCACCTCGCCACTGCTTCCTTCCTCACGCTTCCCTGGGCCCATTTGGACTCCATCACCCCAAACACGTGCACAGCGCTCCTTGGAATCCTTAAAGCAGCGCTAACACAGGGCTGACCTTGGTAGTGGTTAACACAGCTTTTGTGGAAAACTTGGGGTTAAGGAGGGACATTTCTTCATAAAACCTGAAACAAAGTACAGCTGAATGTGAGAGCTCCGACATTGCCAGGAGCCCCTTCTGGTCTCTTCCTCAGCTGGGCTCCCTGCACGATGAGTCCACTAGTTTCTCCATTCTCCCATAGTCTTCAAGTTTCTAGCTTCTGCTCAAACGTGTTGTTTTCAAAACCAGGCAGGGAAACTAGAAAACGTCAACATATCAAAACCTCTCTTACCAATATGGACCTTTTACAGAAGAATGAGAGCTTTCTATCCCAACCTCTAGCCTGCCCAGGCTCACGCTTCTCTTGGTAGAGTTAAAGGGCCTACTGAATCAATTCCCTAAAGCAAACACTCCTCTCCCTTTCGAATGGCTTCAGAATCCTGTTAGTGTCTTCCCTTTGGTGGGTTTCTTTAGAACCAGCTGATTGAAAATCCTATCTCAACCTACCAGACATGGTGTTGGGCTGCCCAGGCTTCGTGTTGGACTTTACTGAGTGCCAGGCCCTCCAGGGAGAACAGCACCCTACTAGAGTCGGCATGTTATTTGAGGATGTTATAACTTCTGACGCAGGGGGGTAAAACAGTGAGGGAAAAGAAAAATGAGGAAGGAGACGCACAATTCATTTATTCAGCACATAGTTATTGAGTACTCACTGTGGTCTGGGCACTATTCCAGGCCCGGGGAAATGGCAGTCCTCAAATCAGGCAAAATCCCTGCTTTCAAAGAGCTTATATTCTGGTGGAGGAAGACAAGTAATAAACACGTATACAGTATGAAAGTGGGGAGGAAGGAAAGTGGGGAGGGAAGCTAGGAAGGAAAAAAATCAGGGGAGGAGACTAAAGGATTATAGGAGATAGGGGCCGCTGCTATAGATTTTAGATGCGATGGTGAAGTAGCTCTGATAAGGTGATATCGGAATAAAGACCTGAGTGAAGGGAGGGAGCAAGCCACATGGATATCTGTGGGGAAAGGTATTCCGTGCAGGAGGTGCAGCAGTGCAGAGGTCCTGAGGCAGCCGCTGGGGTGCGTCGGGACCGGTGAGGACGGCAGCAGGGCTGGAGTGGAATAAACCGGGGAGAGTGCTATGGATGCAGCCAGAGTAGCTGGGCACCAGTCCACAGTGGCCTTCAAGGCCAGGTAAGGACTTTAGGTTAGATTCTGAGTGAGTTAACAAGAAGTAACCAGTATGAAGAGTAGATTCAATGGCATTCTCAAAGAACTGGCTTTTCACATGTTCAGTATTATGTTTTTCAACATTAAACAGGATGGTCCATAAAGGCCCCCTGGGCTGGCCCCTGCCGGCTCTCAGCTCCGGCAGAGAAAGAGCCTCGTGTAGGTGGGAGAGAGGAAAAGTCACTCTTTGTCTCCTTCTCAGTTCTGTCCCGAAACCCCGTGATCCTGCTCAATTCCTGCTTCACGGGGAGCAGCCCCTGCTGGCGGGCCATTAGGGCCAGCCTAGCACAGAACTGGGGGGGGGAACTGCTATGCTACCTGGACAGGCGTTGGGCTGAACTGAGCCTGCTTGCCTTTGATGAACAGTTGGCAACCACCAAAGATGGAGAAATATAAGCACATTTTGAAGGAAATATATCTTCTCAATGGCATGATTTTTCAGTTACAGGGAATATGCGATAATGATGTCATCCAGGGAGGCTGCCTGGCCAAACAGGGCCTCGTAGATGTGTATACATTGTGTGTGTGAGTGTATTTCTGTGTGCGCCTGTATGTTGTGCATATTTCATGTGTGACTCTGTGTGTGTGTTTGTGTGTGTGTGTGTGTGTGTGTGTTGGGAGGTTGGGGGAATTGTCATCACAATTCAGAGCTGGTTTTCCCATTGAAGATCTAGAAACTGGATTCATGAGAGCTCCCAAAGGTTTTCAAGTTCACAAGGACTCAACCACATTAATCAAGTCCTCAAAAGTCTCATTAATAATTTAGAATAACAATTGCTTAATTTATAGCAAGAAATCAAATTGCCAAAGGGGCTAGAGAACACATATCTGCTGTTCAGAAGATTCTCTCTCTAGGCCCCTGAGCTCCAAGACCTGCAGGTACCCACCGTGGTCAGCCTTTGGCTGCACGCATGGTTGGACCTGTGGCTGTTTACCTCTTAAATCCCACATGCTCAGGTGAATTGACGTATTGTCACACAGGAAATCACATGACAGTCAAAAAGTTGTTTGGTGATCAAGGCAAGTTATGTGGAAGCTCTTGCTGACCAGCATTGTTAAACTGCCCCAGCTACTGGTGGGCATAGATACTTGGATTTGCTGCTCCAAGTACTTTCTCTCTGCATCAGCGCTGGGCTTCCCTGAGAAATCCTTGTCCTTTGCTGGTTCTTATCTGTTCAGTCCAACTTCTTGTACTTACTTTTTTAAAAAAATAAATGCTTTACGACGATTTCTCAGGCTATAGTTTTCTTCTTCATTTAGTGAATACTTGATTAGATTTCTAGGCCCCATTCCTCCTACTTTTGATCTGAAAAATATCATGCCTATTGCAGATGATAGAGCATCATCTATTATGTGATGAGCTTACTAATTTAATAGAAGCAAGCCATACCTTATGCGACATCTCACTATCTCCTCCATGGATTGAGTGCATGTGGGAAGAGGAGGGCACTCATTCAAGGATTTGTTGTGACTGATGAGAGTGATTCAGAACACAGATCCTGGAATCATATGGATCTGGGCTGAAACATGGTTCTGCTCCTCCAGAGCTGTGTGACTGGGCAAATTGCTTAGCTTCTTTCAGAGTCCTCATTGTAAGATAGGAATAGTCCTAGTTATGTCCTAAGGTCATTCGTTCGTTCATTCATTCATTCATTCATTCGGGTACTAAGCAGGGTGTCAGGCACTGCTGTAGGTAGTAGGGATCCAGCCAGCAGCGATGGAAACAAATATCACTGCCTCAGGAAGTTTACATTCTAGTGAGAGGAACAACAAATAATACGAGAAATAAATATGTAAACAGTTTAGTATCAGAAAGTGACAAGTGCTATAAAGGAAAATAAAGCAGGAAAAGGTTGTTGTGACATATAAATGAAAGAATGTATATATAGTTCTTAGCAGAGCGGCGTATAACAACAGCAAGCATTTTAGGTGTTATTAGTTCAGCTATAGCGCCA